TCGTCCCCACTCCGGCACATCCGGAACACTGGTTTAAAAAATCTCTCTATAACCATTTTTACCATTGTTTTTGGTCTAAATGTTAATTTAAAACAAACTTAAAATATCATCATACATAGCACAATACAAATTATAGTATACATATTCATGGCTTACCTATTATTTTGCCTTGTGTTTTACTGTCCATTAAATTTTATGGTAAATTTTGTCGAATAAAATTATAATAATTTTAATATTTATTTTTAAAACAGATTAAAAGTATATAATTAAACACTTAATTATTTTAACACCACAATCATTAAAAAGTTTTAACAAGTCTGTTATAGCTGTATTAATATAATATTAAATTGATAAATATGACCGTGGCAAATCTATCAATAAAACTGGACATACCAGAGCCGACAATGATCGAGATGGAAAGTAAACAAAAAATCAAGAATAAATCACTACCTGAGCGCATACCGGCGTTTGGTATTATATGTGCCTTAATTGGTATGTAATTAATTAATGTTAACAAAATTTTTAGTTAATTTTTGTTGATTAATTGATTAGGCGTTACAATGTTTTCGTTGGGATCGCTTATAGCAAAGTTATTAACAGATTTACATGCAATAGAAATACTCGTTTTCAGGTAATAATGATCTTTGTAATTTAAGCTCTCTACTAACTTAACTTTATTACTAATATTATAGTACTAAATTATTACAATGTTTATAAAATTATTTTTGTATACTAAACAAAGTAGAGCTATTACATCACGATATATATTTCAATCGAAAATTCTGTATACAATTGTATTTTATAATTTATAAATATTATAAATATTTTTATTTTTAAACTGTAAATAACTATATTGTATTTAATTATTTTATAAATATATAAAATTAATATTTAAATTGGGATGCAACAGTTGATCCATTATTTATCAAATTTAACTTAAATATAGTAAATATCTCAAATGTTTTACCATGAGTATCTATTGTACACTCATATTTAGGTCCTGTTCATAATCAGACCAAAAACAGACTATGATTCCACCAATAATTAAGCCTAGCTGGAGGATTACTAGTTGCAAATTCATGATTAATTTTAAATGCATGTATATGCTTGAATATAAATACACATAGGTGATAATTAAATGTGAAAAAAAGTTTTAAAAAGGTGATGAGACGGTGATCGAACCCAGGGCCTTTAGAATTAGAAGCCAAAGCTCTACCAACTGAGCTATGCTGACAATGTTGAATTTGTATGACTTAATAGTACTCTTAATAGATAACTATTAATTTCAACATGCATGACTGTTTATAAATATGACATGTAGTCAAATATGTTTTCCTATTAAACTAATGAATTGTATTGTGTCATTGTGTATAATATTGAGATGTGATTTTGTGACTAGATACTTTTATGCACCTCTGGTTTGGGACAAAATTACGTCTACAAAATGACAAATTCAAGCATAAGTGCTTAAATAGTTTTAAGCATTTGCAACATTCAAGCATTTTGCATGATTAGATTTATGCATTTTTTGATGCAGAATAGTTACTCTGTATAAATTATTACAGTGTATATATTTTTATGAACAATATTTTATTGTCATACATAATAATATGCACAAAAAACAATATAACTTCTTATCTAAACTAAAACATTTTAGTGAATACTGAATATTATATCAAATCAAATTAATAAATACTTAATTTTTATATAAATTACTCAGATGCATATTTCAATTCATACCCTTCTTTATCATAACTGTATGGAAAAATACCCAGTTTTTGGGGAACCGGGTCACCGATGGGACCTATTCATAAGGTGCATCACTGGTACCACATCGCTAATCACCCTGTACACATCATACCGTCTAATGCTTCTATCTGACTCAACCACAATCTACCAAGCATCCCCAATATTTGTCACAGTATTTGCATACCTAATACTGCGAGATCGACCCAACGTGGTTCAGCTAATCTCCGGGGTGATTACAGTCAGCGGAGTGTTTATCATATCTAAACCCGAGTTCATATTCGGTTCGGAGGGTCCGGACAAGTATGACAAGCGTTGGGTTGGCTTAGTATTGTCGCTGACCGCTGCGATAACATCGGCAATGTCCCTGATCAATTTGCGCAAACTCAAGTCGACCCCGGTGCCCGTAGTGGTCATGTGGTACTCATTGGCAGTTGTGGTCATCGGTGGGTCAGTGTTGCCAATACTGGACCGCTGGACACTGCCCACCGGTATTAGACAATGGGGTTTATTGATAGCTATAGGGGCTGCCGGTGTGTTGAATCAATATTTCCAAACCACCGCGTTCAAATATGAAAGTCCCGGACCCATTTCAGTCACAAGGAGTTTTAATATTGTACTGGCATTCATATGGGAAGTAACAATATTCCACGAGCCCGTCCAGTGACAGTCCATTACCGGTGCTGTACTCATATCGTCGTGTGTAGTGATGACAGCTGTGTATAAGATGTATCAGGAAAGCCCCAAAAAGTTTGAAAGGTTTTTTAAGCCAGTGTTCCGGATGTGCCGGAGTGGTGACGATCGCGAGGGCAATGATGGCAATCCTAGTGATTGTAACAATAATAGTAATGATAGTAAACCACAATTAGATACGATTGATGGCCAGTTGTCGGACACAATAAAAACATGATGTTCAACACCCAGTGTTGTTGATAGCAATACTGATGGTAGTGTATTATGTAAATAATAAATTGTACAATATTGTTTTTGTAATATTTATTTTTAAATTTAAATAATTAATTCATGAAGATTAATAAATTTATTTATTTCGATAAGTATTATTTGAAAAATATGTTTTTAAATTATTTAATGGTTATCACAAATCTATAATATAAAACAAAGCATTGAAAGGGTACATAGAAAAAGCCTCTCTCTCTCTAAAAATTTTTATCATTGTTTTTGGTCTAAATGTCAATTTAAGACAAAATAAAAATATCATCGTACATGGCACTATACAAAT